CACGGTGCAATCACAAATTCCAGCATCCACATCGACGCGAGACTTTCTTGCACATCACATTGCGCTATTGGGACATACTGCGGTGGCCCCCTTTATCCTGCAACGAGGAACTTCTGACCCATTTCTCGCCACTCCGCATAAGCGCCCCTCTTCCTGACCCCGCCCTCCGGCGCACACGCACGCGCGTCGAACAAAGAAAAAACGCCGTTCGCGCCCGGCGTGCGGAGACGTCTCAGGTGGTCAACGCGCTCGGTTGCTTCGAGCATCTCGCTTTCGGGACCCGCGAGCAGGAAATGGGCGAGGAGAACGAGGAGCAAGAGGAGGACGCCGGGGGGGGCGGAGGACGCGAGCGAGACTGGGGAGGAGGAGGAAGACGAGGAGCACAAGCTGGAAAACAAGGAAAGCAGACGCGATCATACTCATACTCAAAATCACTCACGCACTCCGACTCACACCCAGAATCACTCTTACTCAGGCTCGCCCATGCTCTGAATCGTTCTCCCCCAGGCCCTGTCAGACGCACGCCGACCCACACTCAGACTGCTTCGCGCCCATGCCCGCTCGCACTCGACTCACGCGCACTCGACTCACGCGCACGCCCATGCCCACTCGCACTCGACCCACGCGCATGTCCACGCTGATCTACACATACATGTGTCACGCCAAAATAAGGAAAGCCGCGTCTGCAAAACGATTCGTTCCTAACCTCATTCCGTGATGTCTACACGCGGTGGGCTGATCGACGTCTGCACAAAATACATTTAAAGTTTCATGCCGCGATGTCTACACGGTATTGGCTGACCTGCACATGATCCTCTATTAGGACACGCTGAGTAAAACCACGCCTGCAGACGGTGCGTGTGTAGGCTTACGTCACGATGCGCCCCCAGAAATAGCGCATCTACTCGTATAGGTGTGTCTCAGCAGACAAGGCAAAGCCGCGTCTGCAAAAAAACACTCCTGAACTCGTTTTACGATGTCTGCACAACGCTGACTGACGACACGTGTACAGGCGCGCGTGGGCAAACTAGGCAAAGCCGCGTCTCCCGATAAGACCTGCAACGTCGCAGCGATCCCGCAACGCCTCAAGAACTAAAGGCCCACGCAGAAGACCCACGAACACCAAAAAAACCTTCGAAAACCTTTTAGGGAAAAGTCGGCAGTAAGTCTGCGTTTGTCTCAAAGCAAGGTTTTCTTTAGGCTCTGGCAATATCAATTGCATGGAGAAGCAAAGGATGTCCCCGGCGGAAGACGCCCCAAAGACGTGAAACACATTGGTCTGCGTGGTTTTTGATATTCTGCTGTTTCGCCTTCCCGACGCTCCAAGACTGCCCACGAGGCCTCCAAGGCCGCCCGAAAAAGACCGTCCGAGGACAATGCAAACAAATCCCCAAGGCCATCTTTGGGGTCGGCGGCAGCGACGGGAGCCTTTAGATTACCCAGATCATCATCACGACCAGGACGACGACAAAAAGCAACGAGAAGAACAACGACGAAGATGGTGACGACGACGCCACCTATGTCACCGCCGCCGCCGACGACGACAACAACAACGCCAACGACGATGACAGAACCAGCGACGACGACGACGACGACGACAACGACGACGACGACGACGACGACGACGACGACGACGCCGACCGACGACGACGACGACGACGCCGACCGACGACGACGACGACGACGACGACGACGACGCCCACGCAAACGCCAACGCCCACGCAGACGCCGACGCCGACGCCGACGCCGACGCCGCCGCCGACGCCGCCGCCGCCGCCGCCGCCGACGCCGACGCCGCCGCTGCCGACGGCGGCGGAGGCCGCAGGGCTGGCGAGGGCCGCCGCCTGCGACGCCAGGGGCGCGGCGAGCGCCAGCAGCAGCGCGGCCGCCAGCGCGGCGAGCAGCGGCCGTCGCAGCGCCCCAGTGCGCAGGCGCCGGCCGCGGCCGGCCACGCCGGGGGCCCGCGGCTGTTCCCGCGGGCGCGGCCTCGAGGTGGGGCGGGCCGCCGAGGGCCGCCAAGGAACGCCGAGGGCCGCGGAGTGCCACCGAGGGCCGCGGAGTGCCACCGAGGACCGCCGAGGGCCGCCGAGGGCCGCGGAGGGCCCAGGTCTCCGACGGTGTGACTTCTCGATGATTCGGATTTTCCTCGATGCCGGCGCCAGGTGCCCGCCAGGGTCGTCGAAACACATCCGGGACGAAAAACTGTTCCTGGGGAAGGGTCGCGTGCGGCCGACGGGCGCGAGTGGCCCGCATGGGGTTATTTGACATGGGTCGTCCCCCCCACACCCCCAGGCTGCGGATTGAACAAATCATCCCAATGAATGTCTGGGGAAGGAGGGGCCACCGTGGCCCGCGGCTGTGCCGGTGGCTGTGCCCGCGGGCGAGGGCCGCCGAGGGCCGACGAAGGCCTCCGAGGGCCGCGGAAGGCCGAGCGCGGGCGGTGCGCAATCTGCACATACGGCGAGTTCACGTCGCGATGACGTCAACATTGGTTTCTGTCACTGTCTGGCTCGCTCAACTTTGCACGATCTTGGTTTTAAAATATCGCCGATGTGTCAATAGTGGTCGATTCCGAGCCACTAGAGGCGTTCAACATTCAACGCCCTAGCTGGCGTCGCCGCCGCGTCAACGCGGCGAGAACCTGCCGCACGGCCACGTCCAGCAATGGATGGATGGGTGGATGGGTAGATGGACGAACGAATGGATGGATGACGATGCGTAATTCGATGATTCATCATCAACGTTTCCAAACGAAAACGTGACTGGTCTAAACCCCTTGATCTAAACCTCCGCGGAGTTTTCACGACTCCTCCTCCTCCTCCTCCTGCACATCCACCCCCTCCTCCTCCTCCTCCTCCTCCTCCTCCTCCTCCTACTCCTCCTCCTCCTCCCCCTCCTCCCCCTCCTCCTCCCTCCCCCAGTATCCTCCCCTGCCCCCTCTCCCCCCCACCCCGGGCCAGCGCAACGCCGCGACCCCGCGCGGCCAGACGGCACCATACCGGCCGCCCGTCATCCCGCCGGGCGCCCGCGGGTGGCACCGCGCTTGCGCGCGTTTGCGCGCGCCGCCGGGCGGGCGACCGCGGCTGACAGAGCGGCAGAGGGACGCGGCGGGGCCCTTGTCCTCAGCGTCCTCCTCCCTCCTCCTCCTCCTCCTCCTCCTCCTCCTCCTCCTCCTCTCCTCCTCCTCCTCCTACACCTCCTCCTCCTCCTCCTCCTCCTCCTCCTCCTCCTCCTGCTTCGACTCGTCGTCCTCCTACTCCTCCTTCTACTCCTCCTGCACCCCGTCTCCGTCCTCGTCCACACCATCCTCCGCCTGCTGCCCCTCTTGCGATCCCCATCTTTTTCGCCATCAGCTGTTCTCATCATCCTTACAGTTCCTCCTCCTCCTCCTCCTCCTCCTCCGCCTCTTCCTCCTCCTCCTCATCCTCCTCATCCTCCTTATCATTCCCACGCCCACAACCACGGTCATCAATCATCATCCGCGTAATCACCACCTAATCATCACCATCATCACCATCATCACCATCATCATCATCATCACCACCACCACCACCTCCATCATTATCATCATCATCATCATCATCATCAGCAGCAGCAGCAGCATCATCATCATCAGCATCATCATCATCCCCGTCGTCGTCTTCGTTGTCGTCGTCGTCGCCGTCGTCGTCGTCATGATCATCATCATCATCAGCAGCATCATTATCACAACTACCACCATCATCATCATCATCATCATCATCATCATCATCAGCATCATCATCATAATCAGTATCATCAGCATCATCATCGTCATCAGCGTCACCATCAGCATCATCATCATAATCATCAGCATCATCATTAGCATCATCATCAGCAGCATCAGCATCATCAGCAGCACCATCGTCATGGGCATCATCATCATTATCAGCATCATCTGCATATGCATCATCATCATCATCATCATCATCATCATGAGCAGCATCATCATCATCATCATCATCATCATCATCATCATCATCAGCAACGTCAACATCATCACCATCGTCATCATCATCACATTCGTCGCCGTCGCCGTCACCATTACCATACACATCACCATCACTATCAAAATCACAGCCGCAGCATCGTGAGCATCCCACGTAACATAGTCGCCGCCATCAGACTCAGCATCATCATCAGCATCATCATTATCGTCATCGTCATAATAATCGTCGTTATCATCATCACCACCACCACCACCACCATCCTCATCATAACAGTTGTAGTCATCATGCATATCAGCAGCAACATCGGCATCATCAGCATCATCAGCATCATCAGCATCATCATCATCATCATCATCATCATAAGCATCGTCGTCGTCATCAGCATCAGCATCCTCAGCTTCCTCAGCATCATCCTCAACATCATCCTCAGCATCATCCTCATTATCATCCTCATCATCGCCATCATCATCATAATTATCTTTACCATCATGACCACCATCCTCATCAAAATCACAATCGTCATCAAAAGCAATGTCATCATCATCATCACAGCACAGCTTCATCCGCACAATCGTCGACGTAATCGTCAACCTCCTCCTCATCACCACCACCACCACAATCGCCAACACCACAATCCTGAACGTAATCATCATCACATCATCGTCATCCTCGTCGTCACCACCAGCAGCATCGTCATCACCATCACCATCATCATCATCATCATCATCATCATCATCGTCAGCATCATCATCAGCAGCAGCATCAGCATCATCATCACCATCAGCATAGTATCATCATCAGCAGCATCGTCATCATCTTGATCATCATATTCAGCATCATCAGCTTTAGCAGCATCATCATTATAATCAGCTTTAGCAGCATCATCATCAGCATCATCACCATCATTATCGGTATCATCATCAGCATCATCACAAGCAGCAACATCAGCATTATCGTCACTGACCGCCTCCGCATCCGCCTTGCTCTGCCTCGGCCTCTCACGGAGCGGATGGGGATGGTGGAGTGTTGGATCGATGGTCGAGGCCGGTCATTTCCTCCCGGCGCAAAGGAGCCGCGCTCCGCAACAAACCGCATCCCGCGCGAGTCGCGCCTTTTGCGCGGGCCCCCCGAGATTGGCAACACTTCCTCCTCCTCCTCCTCCTCCTCCTCCTCATCATCATCATCATCAGCATCATAATCATCACCATCGTCATCATCATCAGCTTCAGCAGCATGATCATCCGCAGCATAATCATCATCATCATCATCATCATCATCATCATCATCATCATCATCATCATCAGCATCAGCATCAGCATCGTCATCATCAGCATCAGCATCCTCATCAGCATCATCATCATCAGCATCAGCATCAGCATCAGCATCAGCATCAGCATCATCATCATCATCATCATCAGCATCAGCATCAGCATCAGCATCAGCATCAGCATCAGCAGCATCATCATGGTCATCATCATCATCCTCCTCCTCCTCCTCGTGCTCCTCCTCCTCCCACCCCGTCCTCCTCAGAGAGCGAACCCATGGCCTCTCCACGGGTACGTTCCGACCGGATGTTCGAGCCGCATCCAGCCAGGACGACGGGGAGCCTCCTTGAGACCTCACAAGAGCGAGAACGCCCAACAACCTCCATCCTCCCGCCTCGATCCTCGAACCTTCAAAGTCACCGAAGTCTGCCCCTCTCCATCCTCCCCCACCTCGCCCCTCAGAGCTGTCGCGCGGCGCCGCTGAGCCAGGCCTTAGCTGATCCACAGCGGCTCGGCAGACCAGCGAGAGAGGCAACCTCCCCCTCCTCCACATGCACGCAGAAGGGTCGGATGTACAATCCCACGTTTGATGCGACCTGCCCGCTGCTAGCACGTTATACGGCGTGGCTGTGGGACGGTAGGACTTCGGCATCTCAGCTCCGTGCGGCATGGCAGGCGGTTCGCGGCAACATCAGCAAGCAAGGATCATGGAGAATTTGGTTTGGACCGATCTCGGCGGTGATCTTCACCCTTCGCAGGATCGTTCGGAACATGGCGGCGCCTCACGTGCTGCTCTCGGATCGAGGCGAAACTGTGCACATGTACGAGTTTTCGCCTTCGGAGGTCCGAGTTCTGGTCCGAGACGGCGTCGAGCGTTGGCTCTGGCGTAGGGTCCCTTTTCACTGGCCTGAGGCTGCTGGAACCGACGAGATCTGGATTCGAGCGATGCGCCTCGCTGTGTTGTCCCTTCCAGCTGGTGCGCGCCGAGGTTCTGCTCGGGCCCTCCTGTCTGGGGGCCTTTGGCCTCCCGAGGGGGAAATCCAGGCTGGCCTCTACGCGTCAGGTAAAGTGGAGCCGAGCGGGCTACGCTAGGCCACCAACTTTATGCCTGCCCCGCTGCCTTTGCCTCGCCAGGGGATGCAGAGCAGGCTCAAGGTCCGTTTCCTGAGGATAAAAGGCAGCAGAAACAGGCCCTTCGGGAGCAAGGAGTCTCTCCTCCGGGGGGTCGGATCGGGATGACGTTCCTCTCCTGTACTGGCGCCAACCTCCGCCGCCGCTGTCCCAACCTCCCGTGCTGCGCTGGGTTCTCACGGAAGGCACCTGGGGCCCGCTCCTTTTGACAGATTGCAGTGGGTTGGCGAGCGCGTGTCCGGAGGCGGCGAGGTGTGGCTGAAGCGTGGCTGAAATTACGGAAGATGGCTGGCCCCTCCGAGCGAGGCTCGGCGGGCTGCCCGGAATTTCTCAAACCGTGCCTCGGGGCGAACGGTGGGCGAGCCTTGAAGCTATGCCCGTGGGCCCTTCTAACCTGATGATAAATTAGTGATCACCTCGGTTTTGCTCGCGAGGGCCAGCGCTGGGACTCTGAACTTGAGTGCGGCCTTGCGCGCCACACGTCTTTCTGGCGAGAGATGGTCAGATTGTCTGAGCGGTCGGGGACGCGGCCGTCGCTGGTCTGGACTCCTGCGCATCGGTCATTCGAGCAACTGGTCGATGAGGGAGCGTCGGCCGAGGAGATCCATCGTTTCATACGGGGAATGCTTGGGCAGATTTGTTCGCCAAACTTGGGGCTAGGGACGTCACTGTTGCACAGGTCACAGTCGATGCCCTCCAGCGCTCTGTGAAAGATTGCAAGGGTACGTTCGAGTTTCCTTCGAGGGCGGTGCAATTGATTTGGGCTCGTCCTGAGGCTCAGGATGTGGACCCTCCTCCGCCCAAGCCTGTGCCGGGGAGGTGCGATAAGCTCGTCCGAATCGCCCATGACCCCGTCCCCCTGGCTCCTTGTTCGCCGGCGTTGCAATGCAGGCGTTGTTTGGCCGTGGCTCGGACCCCTGCAAGTGTTAATACGACGCTTTTGAAGCCAGAGGCCCAGTGTGACACGTCGCCCATGCACCAGGCTCTCACCCCAAATGTTGAGCAGCTCGGATGGCGTAGCCAAGGGACGGGGCGGCTGCGGGGGGTGCAGCTGCTGCTGCCGAAGGGGTGGCGCGGAATGGGACCCTCTTCGAATGTGACGGCCAGAAGGTCCAGCATCCGGGACCGTCTTTGCTCATGATTCGGTGAGGGGCCCGTGTGGCCATCGGTTCTCCCCAAATCGATGCCCTAGGGGAGGTCTGCCCCTCGGCCCCCCGAACCCCGCCCGCCGTAGAGCCAGGGACTGGCTCGTCGATGGGCGGCACCCTGCAACTGGAGCTAAGTTTTGGTTAATTTCTGGCGTGCGATGCTAGTCTGACCTCGCACGCACCACCCCTTATCATTTAAGTTGTGCTTCCATGTTGCATTTAGCTCGGAGGTAGTATCGTGTGTGCATGACTCCACTTTCTGTCCTGCGTCCTGCGTCCTGCGTCCTGCCTCCTCTTGCTTCTCCTCCTCTTCCTCCTCCTCCTCATCCTCCTCCCCCTCGTCCTCCTCCTCAAAAATCGAGCCCGAAATCTCTCCTGAGATACGTTCGTTCTGGCGAGATGTTCGAGCGATATCCAGCCGTGGCGACCAGAAGCATCCAGCAGACTGAAAATGCGCGAAATCCTCCAACAGCCTCGAGACTCGCGCCCCGAGCCTCGAACCTCGATCCTCGAACCTCCAAGCTATCCGAAGTCTCTTCCTCCTCCTCCTGATCCTCCACACCCACCTCCTCCTCCACCACCACCTCCTCCCTCCTCAGTGCTGTCGCGCGGCGCCGCTGGGCCAGACCTTAGCTGATCCCCAGCGGCTCGGCAGACTGGCGAGGGAGGCGAGGGGGAGGCTGGTGACGCAGAGAGAAGCCCCCCTGCCAGGCCCAGCACGAGCAGGGAGAGGAAGGAGGGTGTTTCCCTTCCTCCTCCTCCTCCTCCTCCTCCTCCTCCTCCTCCTCCTCCTCCTCCTCCTCCTCCTCCTCCTCCTCCTCCTCCTCCTCCTCCTCCTCCTCCTCCTCCCTCCTCCTCCTCTCCTCCTCCTTCCTCCTCCTCCTCCTCTCCTCCTCCTCCACCTCCTCGCTAATTCTCCTCCTCCTCCTCCTCCTCGCTCCTCCTCCTCCTCGCACCTCCTTCTCCTCCTCCTCCTCCTCCTCCTCCTCCTCCTCATCATCATCACCACCACCACCATCATCATCAGCATCGTCGTCGACGTCGTCGTCATCATCATCGTCTTCATCATCATCATCATCATCATCATCATCATCATCATCCTCATCATCATCATCATCATCATCATCATCATCATCATCATCATCATCATCATCGTCGTCGTCGTCGTCGTCGTCGTCGTCATAATTATCGTCAGCATCGTCATGATCATCATCAGCATCATCATAAACATCATCATCATCATCAGAATCAGCATCAGTATCATCATTATCCTCATAATCAGAATGATGATCATCATCATCATCATCATCATCATCATCATCATCATCATCGTCGTCGTCGTCGTCGCCATCATCGCCATCATCATCCTGATCAGCATCATCACCATCATCAGAATCATCAATGTCGTCACCATCATCATCACCATCAAAGTCACCATCAGCATTATCATTACCACCACCATCAGCATTATCATCATCAGCACCAGCATCGGCATCAGAAGCAGCATCAGCATCAGCATCAGCATCATCATCAACATCGCACTCATCATCATCATCAGCATCATCAGCATCATCATCAGCATCGCCATCACGATCAGCAATAACATCGGTATCATCGTTATCATTCGCATAATCGTCCTTATCATCGGCATCATCAACATCGTCGTCGTCATCATCATCGTCATCATCATCACCATCATCACCATCATCACCATCATCATCAACATCGTCAGTATCGTCATCGTCATCAAGCTACTCAGTAACAGCATCATCATCAGGATCCGTATTATCAGCGTCATCAGCAGCAGCAGCAGCAGAAGCAGCAGCAGCAGCATCCTCAACATCAGCATCAGCATCATCATCGCCATCAGCATCATCAGCATCGTCAGCATCTTCGCAAGCATCATCATCATCCCTATCGCCATCATCAGCATCATCCGCGTCCTCATCCTCATTCTCGTCCTCATCATCGTCGTCATCGTCGTCGTCATCATCCTTCTTCTCGTCACCCTCCTCCTCATCATCACCAGCAGCAGCATCAGCATCAGAAGCAGCATCAGCATCGCCATCATCTGCAACATCATCAGCAACATCATCGGTATCATCATGCTCAACATCAATATCAGCACCAGCGTCACCATAACCGTCACCATCAACATCTCGAGCACCATCGTCATCAGCAGCATCATCAGCATCGTCAGCGAAATCATCATCATCATCATCATCACCAGCATCATCATCATCAGCAGCATCATCGTCGCCAGACTCAACAACATCATCACCATCACCCCTGGTACCATCATAGAATAGCCGTAATCATCACCCGAAACCATCATCATAATCAGGAGCAGCACACGCAGCATCAGCATCCTCATTACCATCATCAGCATCAGCATCGTCACCATCAGCAGCATGATCATCACCACCATCATTATAGGCATAAGCATCATCATCATCATATACAGCATCACCATCATCCTCGTCAACGTCGTCAACATCAGCATCATCAGCATCATCAGCATCAGCAGCATCATCTTACTCTCCTCCTACTCCTCCTCATCATCGTCATCAACAGCAGCGTCATCACTCTCATCATCCTGCTCATCGACGGCATCAGCAAAATCGACAGCATCATCATCATCATCGCCAGCATTATCATACTCATCATCATCAGCAGCATCATCATCGGCGTCGTCGTCGTCGGCTTCGGCGTCGCCACCGTCGTCAACAGCAGCATCAGCACCACAGCATCAGCATCATCAGCAGCATCATCAGCATCGTTACAAGCATCATCAGCATCACCATCAGTATTATCCCCACCATCATCGTCATCACCATCATCATTGTCATTGTCATCATCATCACCATCACCACCAGCATTATCAGCAACGTCGTCATCATCATAAGCATCATCATGAGCATTGTCATCATCATCGGCAGCAGCTGCAGCATCATCACCACTACCACCATCATCAAAATAATCAGCATCATCATGCTCATCATCACTACCACCGCCATCGTATCAGCATCAAAATCATAATGACCACGATCGTACGCAGCATCACCCTCGTCGTTGTGGTCGCAGTCAGCGTCGTCATCATCATACTCGTCATGATCACCAGCATCGTCATCAGCAACAACACCATCATTATCGTCATTATCATCAGTGTCGCGTCAACTTTACCAAGATCAACATCACGATGATCATCATCATCAACATCATCAGCAGCAGCAACGTCATCGTCCACGTCATCGTCATCGTCATCGTCATCGTCATCATCGCCACCATACCCGTTGTCGCCAGGGTCGTCGTCACCACTACAGTCTGCATCGCCAGCAGCACATCATTACCAGCAGTATCACCATCATCGTTACCAGGACAAGAACCAGAATCAGTATCACCATCACCCTCACCTTCACAATACTCAGCATCATCATCACCACAACATCATCATCATCAACATCATCACCACCATCATCATGGGCATTGTCATCATCATCATCATCAGCAGCAACAAAATCGTCGCAACACTCCACTGCCACTGTCAGAAATACCCTTATCGACATGCTTATCCTCGACTCGCTTCTCCCGCTTCCTCCTCCTACTCATCCTCCTGCTCCTGCTTCTCGTCATCCTCCTTCGCCCCTTACGTCTTCATCAACCTCCTTCTCCTCCAACTTGCGCGCGCTCCCGCGCACGTACGGGAGAGGATGAAGAGGAGGAGGAGGAGGAAGAGGAGGAAGACGAGGAGAAGCAGGAGAAAGAGGAAGGAAGGAAGGAACTAAGGAAGGAGTAGGTTCGAAGGCACTGATCCTTCCACTCCTCCTGATCCTCATCTCTATCCCCCACCCTCCTTATCCTCATTATCCCCATCCTCGACCTCATCCCCATCTCCAGCAAGAGGTAGCAACAGCAGAAGCGAAGCATTCAGCAGCAACCAGAGAAGAAGGACTGAGGAGAGAAACGGGGTCACTTCTTCGCCTTCTTCCGGCGGTAGATAATCACATACGCCGGGTACACGCCCCTGCAGGGTGGGTGCGCGTAGATGCCATGGCGCTGCCCCCGTAGTTGTGTCACGCCATGCCCACAACCTCGCCCTCACAAGGCATCACCCCTCCTCCTCGGGGTCATCATCAGCATCGCCATACCCTATCATCACCACTCATCACCACCCATCATCATCATCGGCAGCAGCAGCAGCGACAGCGTTCATCATCATCAACAAATATCGGATACATAGTGGTCGTAGTCGTCGCCTTCGTCATCGACGTCTTCAGCATCGTCATCATGACCAGCATCCATCATCATTATCATCATCAAAACCAGCACCACCACCACCATCGTAATCATCATCAGCAGCCGCATCATCATCACCACCAACAACATCATCACCAACATCATCACATCGTCGTTATCATCATCACTACCACCACCACCACCACCCCACCATCAACGCCACAAACCACAGCAGCAAACTCAACCTCATGAGCATCATCATCAGCAGCATTATCATCAAACTCATCAGCATCAACATCCTCATCATTATCATCATCGGGCGTAAGCAGGTTCATCATCATCATCAGCAGCAGCAGCAGCATCAGCATCATAATCATCATCATCGTCATCAGCATCACCACCGTCATTATCATCAGCGCCATCGTCATCGTCGTGAGCATTAGAATCCACAGAAACATCATGAACACCACCATCACCATCGTCAGCAGCATTATCATTATGTCCACCACCATCATCACAATCTTCTTTATCATCGTCATCATGTACATCCATCTCATCATCTTCATCTTCATCAGCTTCATCATCAGCAGCATCATCACCATCATCGTTGTCGTCGTCGACGTGGCCATCATCGTTGTCGTCATCGTAATCATCATCATCATCATCATCATCATCATCATCAAGCAGCAACATCACCATCATCATCATCATCATCATCATCACCATCATCATCATCATCATCATCATCATCATCATCATCATCAGCATCATCATCATCATCATCATCATCATCATCATCATCAGCATCATCATCATCATCATCATCATCATCATCATCATCATCATCATCATCATCATCATCATCATCATCATCATTTTATCATCAACCACCGCAACATCATCATCAGTAGCAGCGACAGCATCATAATCACCGGCATCAGCATCAGCATCATCATCAGCATCAGCATCATCATCGTCGTCGCCATCGTCGTCATCATCATCAGCATCATCAGCAGCAGGAGCATATCAATCGGCATCATCATCATCATCAGCAGCAGCAGCACCATCACCAGCAGCAGCAGCAACAACAGCAGCAGCAGCCGAAACAGCAGCAGCCACGTCGTCGTCGTAGTCGGCGGCATTACCATCATCATCACAATCAGCAGCAGCATTGCCATCATCATGAGCATCATCATCATCATCATCATCAGCAGCAGCATCCTCATCCTCACCATCATCATCATGATCAGCATCATCATCATAGTAATTATCAGCATCAGCATCAGCAGCATCATCATTATCATCACCATCATCGTCATGATCATCGCCATCATCAGCATCATCATCAACAGTAGCATCATCAGCAGCAGCAACAGCAGCATCAACGTCGGCATCAGCATCAGCATCGTCGGTGGGCTCATCCACTCTCCGTCACCTCAGGAATCTTATTGGAACCAACAGAAATTCCCCCAAGGACTCCTCAGGGTATCCTAGGACACTCGAGGGATTTCCCAAGGAATCCAGATGAGTCACATGGAGTCCTGAGGGTACCATGGGGAGCCCTGAGGAGTTCCACAAGCCCTGCAGGGCATGAGTGGTCTGGCGACCTTGTCCTGCCGAACCCCATCTTCACCACCGGGGAGGGGGCTCTCCCCCCCCCTACCCCCTTCCCACCGAGGCTAGATGAGGCGGGGGGGGGGGGTCAGGGGGTCCTTTTTTGGCCCCAGGTGGCTCCAAGCGGGCCAACAGAGAGCTCAAGATGGCCTCCAAGATCGGTCGAGCCAGCCCGAGACTGGGACGTCCTCCGAGACCCCGAAGACGTCCTCGGGGACCCCGGGGCATGCCGTAAGGGCCCTGTAGGATCTCACCGTGCGCGGCGCGCGGCGGTCTCCGTCCTCTCGTGCCTCGGGGCGCCGCCTACCGCGGCGCGAAGCTCCCACCGATGCGGCGCGGCTTCCCCGCGCCCGAGTCCCGCCCCCGCGCGCAATGTTTTGGTCGCAGGGGCGAGAGTCCCCACCGCGTTCGGAGGCAACCACCACAGCGAGCTGCGAGGTCCCGCCTGGGTGCGCGTGCCCGCTGCTCCGCCGTGCCGCCCGGGAGCCCACGGAAGTGGCGACGGTTGCGCAGTTCGCAGCCACCCAGGGAGCAGCGCAAGAGGGCGAAGAAGAGGAGGAGGCGGAGGAGAAGGAGGAGGCGGAGGAGGAGGAGGAGGAGGAGGCGGAGGGGGAGGACGGGAGAGGAGTCGCGACCACAGTGCTCTTTTCAAAGCAATCACCCAACGCAGGAGGGTTGGGAATAAAGCAGGAGACGGATGGCAGGAGGAGGGAGGCGGGGAGGAGAAGGGGAACGGGAGGAGAGTCGAACAAGCAGTGCTTTACTCAAAACTTGAACACACGTGGGAGGGTTGGGAAAAAACATCTCTTGGACGCCGTCGACGCGTCGGGCCGAATCAGACGGAGCCAACCGAGGGTAACCGACGGTAATCGGCCCTAGCCGACGCTAATCGACGCTTGACACCAAATCGACGCTAATCAACGCTAAGTCGACACTGATCGACGCTCCACTTGCTCAGTCGGTAGCGCCGGCAAACGCAGGCGCGTCTGTACGGAGCAGACGACGTTACACACAAAAATACCTAAACAACAAAAACAAAAACAAAACTCTGCTCCAGATTTCATAATAAAGGGAGGGGGGTTTCATTTCGGGGGGGGTCTCTTCCAGGCTATCTTGGAGGGCCTGGGGGGGTCTGGGGACGACGTTTTGGAGGGTTCTCCCACGGGGGGGGGTCTGAAATGGCTTGTCTTGGAGGGTCCAGACCCCCTCCCTTTTATTACGAGATCTGGAGTACCTAAACAACAAAAACAAGAACAAAATTCTGCCTGACCTCCCACTGGAAAATTGGAGTGCTGGTTGCGACAGCCTTCCGGTGCCGGGGACGCTCCGCGCTCCCGCCGGGGCGCTCCTCAGCCCAAATGTCTGCCACGGGATGCTCGCAACGGGATGGCGACAATGAGCTCACTGCGTTTTTGAAGGGGCCCAAGGACACACAAACAAATACACACAAATAAAATAATCCCACCAGCCCTTTGGGCGTGAGTGGTTTAGGGAGCTCTCTCTGTCCTCAACCCCCTAACCCCCTATCTTCCCCTTCGGGGAGGGGTTTACCCCTCCCCCTACCCCCTCCCCTGGACCTGGAGAGGGCGGGCCGAGTGGTGGCAAGGGGGTCTTTTTCGACTCCTGGGAGGGCCAAAGAACGACGACCCTCACGAGGATTCTGGTCCCGAGGGGGGGAGACCGTTTGGCCCCTCTGCTCTTCTTCGAAGCCTAAAACATTGATTTTGCCATGGTTTTGGCCCCATTTTGGCCTTCTGAGGGGGCAGCGCTCATCGTCCTTCACAGCAAAATCATTGATTTTACAAAGGTTTTGGCGTCATTTTCTCCTTCTCAGGGGGCAGCGCTCATTTCCGCTTCTGAGGAGGTCGCAAGAGGCCCCAAGATGGCCCCAAGAGGCCCCCAGGAGGCTCCCAAGAGGCCTCCAAGAGGCCCCCCCAGAGGCCCCCAAGCCCGGCACCCAAGAGGCCCCCAAGAGGCCCCCAAGAGGCCCCCAAGAAGCCCGAACGACTCACAGAGGAGCGCTTTCTCTCCCTCCTCCTCCGCCTCGTCCTTCTCCCCAAGAGGCCCCAAGAGGCTCCAAGAGGCCCCCAAGAGGCCCCACGAGGAGCCCGAACGACTCACACCACGCCGTGGGGCCCCAACGACTCACACCACGAAGAGCCCGAACGACTCACACCACAAGGAGGGGCCCGAACGACTCACACCAGGACGAGGCGCCCGAACGACTCACACCACGAGGAGCCCGAACGACTCACACACGAGGAGCGCTTTCTCTCCCTCCTCCTCCGCCTCGTCCTTCTCCCGCTCCCCCCACAAGGAGGATGTACAAGGAGGCGGGAGGAAGGAGGAACAGGGGAGATATGCGGGGCCAAGCGGACACACGCCTGAAAAACACGACTGTCGGCATGCTTCGCAAGAGTTGCTGCTGTGAGATGGGCTGGTGGGGATACGCGAAGCGTAAAGAATTCCCCATATTTCCTATATTTTCTGGGTTTCTGTCTTCGCCCCCACTTCCCATATTTTCCCATATTTTCTGGGGAATCGACGATTAATTGTGTCTGTGTGTTTCTTTCCCTCCTGAGTTTTAGAGGCGGCTGGATGGGTCTGAACTGGATGGACCTCGAGAACATCAGTCAGAAAAGAGATCCAAAGGCAAATCCGCTCGAAATCGGTCATCAGTCCCGGGACCCCTCCGGTCCCCAGAGCCGAAAACGGCCCCCGGAGGCCGACAGAGACAGAAAAACTTCTCGAACCCAGAACCTCGAACCTCTCCCCCCCCTTCCTGCCCGCCCGAACCAAGGCTGGGCCATCTCAGAACCCCAGCCAGCTCCAAACTGCGGCGGCCCTCCCGCCCCCGACGAGGAAGGAGAGACGAGGAGGGAAGAGGAAGGGCGGGTGGTTGGGGTGGACGGGGAAGGCAGGACGAGGAAAGAGGACGGGTAGAGAAGAAGAAAGGGCCAACGAGATGGCGGCCATGAGCTCACTGCGTCGGCTCCCCCGTCATTAGAGGCGTGCTTCAATACGTTCAAGGTGCTCGGAATTCTTTCTGGTGCCTCAGGCTGAAGCAGGTTGGAACATCACAACTCTCGGTGATCTACTGGCCCGGACCAATCCAAGCCCAGTTCAGCCAGGCCTCGCAGGAGTTGTCGGTGCGCACAAGGGGGGAGGGAGGGGAGAGGGCTTCTGAGAAGGAGGCTGCTCCTTAGAAGGCGCCGGCCTCACATCTGTAAAGGAGGCCCGCGCCTTCCAGGAAGCAGGGGTGCTTCTACGAAGCCCTCCCCCCTCTCCCCCCACCCCCGCAAAAACATCCCGCAAATCTCGGGACCGGACCTGGTGTTCAGGGCCCGCCTCCCTCGGGACCCGTGAGATTTGGGATGCCAAGAATGGCGGACAGGCGCCGGGCAGAAGAGAGGGAGGAGGTAGCGGAGGAGGGGATGGGGAGGAGGCGAGGGAGAAACACTTGCATAAGCACAAACTTGTGGCGGTCCTGCGCGTGGCTGCAAGATCCTGCAGAACATCCCGCGGGTTTCCGCGGGGCCCTGCGCGCCAGCCCGGGCCAGTGCAGGCCCGGCTCTGCTCGGCGGCGCGCCCATGGGGGGGGAGGTGCGAGGGAGAAGGCCCTCTCGGAAGGCCGCGCGGCTTCTCAGAAGCCCTCTGCGCCTTCGGTCGGGAGGGCTCTCTGCGTCTTCGGTCGGGAGGGCTCTCTGCGTCTTCGGCCGGTCGGGAGGGCCCTCTGCGTCTGCGGTCGGGAGGGCCCTCTCAGAAGGCTGCGTGACTTCTCAGAAGCCCTTCTGAGAGGCTCTCTGCGTCTTCGGCCGGGAGGGCACAGAGGCGGGGGTATGGACAAGGAAGGAAAGTCGCTCCGAACGACCCCCGAAAGAAGAAAACGCGTTCAAAGCGAGCATCCAGCTGGGCCCGTTCCCCAGCCCCACCTCGGGATAACCCTCCCTCCACGAACCTCCGATTCGGGGGACGGCTCAGGAAGCTTCTCGGCAGGCAGGGGGCCTTCCGAGCCTCCTGGGAAGGCCTCCTCCTTCTCACGCCGCCCCTCGCTCGCCGCCGACCTGTGGGGTCCTGCAAGGGACCCGGCGCTCTGGCTGACCCCCGCGTGCACTTTGACCTCCGGCTCAGGGCCCCCGAGCCGCGCGCGCCACGCCGCGGCCGGCTCCGTCGGCCCCCCACCTGCGCCCCCTCGCGCGCGTCCGTGGGCCCCTCTCTGCAGCGGAAGCAATCTGAGCCCTGCTGCTCTCGGAAGACCACCTGGGCGACGATAAGAACCGGGGCTTGGGCGAGATGGCGCAGCGACCTTGCGCCGCGGCTCACGCGGACCACCAGCGCGGCGCGCTGCCTTGGAAACGAGGGCGCTCACGCGCGACCCTACGCCAGCAGCTCGCGCGCCAGCGTCGGCGCCAACGACCCCGTTCTGGCGTCGCTCGTCTGGGAGGCCTCGGGCCTATGGACGCCGACCTCCCCGACCCCGCCCCCCCCCCCCCGCGCCCGGGGCCCCCGCGCACGGCCGGCGGGGCCTCCCGTCTCGGACGACGAACTCCCGGTAGGTGCCGCGCGCCTGTGCCAGGGCAGGAGCAGCAGCAGCAGCAGCAGCAGGAGGAGGAGGAGGAGATGGAGGTGGGGGGGGAGGTGGAACTGGAGGTAGAAGAGGTGGAGGAGGTGGAGATTGTTGCGGTTGCGGTTGCGGTTGCGGTTGCGGTCGGCAGGTGCCGAGAGGGGCCTGGCCGCGTGGCGAACCGCAGCTCATTTGCGCATGAACTCACAAATGCCATTGCGCGCATGAACTCACAAATGCCATTGTTGTGCAGACAACTCTCGCTTCACCGTGGAACCAACGTTGGATCCCCAAGACTGTTTGTCATCAGCGGTTTCTATTCCGGTAGAGCACGTAACATCGTTTTCTCCCACCTCCACGCCTGGAATTTGCGCTCATGCCCCTGATTACCATCGTGGATGTGCTGATCATTTCGTCAGGGTGGAGGGCTCAGGGTGAAATCCATATCTGCTTTTGCATCTCGAAAATCCATCCGTCTTGTGATTCACCTTTTGCATATTCAAACCTAGAAGATCAATCGAAACGGCATGTCAGGTTTCGCCCTGTGCCCTCCACCCATAGAAAAAGCTCGGATGTGGAGGAAGTGGAGGTGGAAGTGGACGAAGTGGGGGTGGAACTGGATCTCGCTTGCGGATCTTGCAGGTGCCAGGCTGAGCATCGTTTATCCGATCCTTATCCCCAGCGGCGTGGCCTGGGCCCCACTGGCCGATTTGCCCCCCTAGATGGGGATGTGGGCTTTTCCCTTCGGGTTTCGAGGGGGTGTATCCCCAACTGGGGGGGGGGAACTTGGTGGGGGTCTCGAAGGCGATGGGGATGGGGATGGGGATGGGGGTCGGTTCAACGATACCGACAGGCCCAACCCTGGGGAGAGGCGGGTGCCCCGGAGCGTGGGAGGGAGGGGGAGGAGAAGCCCCTGGGCGAGCTGCGCCCTCGGGCCGGGCCCAAGCCCCCGACCAGCCACAGCGGGGAAGGCCCGCGAAGGGCGAACGGGGCAGCGGAGGGCGCCACGACAGAGAGCAGGGGCTCCCTGACCGCGCACATCCAACAGGCGCTCGATGAGCAAGCCCAGCAGTGAAGAACAGCAGGGCCACAAACGGCACCTCTGACACCACAGGTCAGACGACCAGCATGCTCTTGCCACCATACCCCAGCATGTAAAGATAACGTGGCATCTGCTTGCAGTACACAGAGCCGGGGCGAGCTGGCTGCTCCCTCCGAGTCACTCGATGACGAAGATGGAGGAGGAGGAGGAGGAGGAGGAGGAGGAGGAGGAGGAGGTGACGACGATGGAGATGGAGGAGAATTCTTCTCCGTCCCCATTATCGTCCCTCCCCCCAGCCTATCCAGCGTCCCCCACTACCCCAGGCGCCTCCCCGCGGCCGGGTTCCGGCCGAACTCGGCCCGCCAGCGGCGGAGCCGACATGCGACCCCCTCTGGCCCCGGGCCGACCATCCAACGTCCCCCCTCCCATCCGACGCATGGCGACCCACAAACGCGGCCCGCGGCCGACTTCTGGCCGAACTCGGCCGCGCCCACCGCGGGTGGGGGTTTCCCCTTGGCCCTCCGCCGACTTCCAGTGGGCAGCCACACTCTCCGAGGGCCTGACCTCCTACGGCCCCCGCCCCGCGCACGTCCTGGCGCTCCCGGCTAAGGGGGGGGGGCTTCCAGCGCAGGAAATCACGGGCGGTTTTCTGCCGAGCTCCCGAGAACTCGGCAGAGCACCGCACGAGACATGCGCGCCAAAATGGCCCCCGCCCCCACTGCGCCCCCAGCCAACCGGCAGAAGGCCATCACTGCGCCGTCAGCCCCCCAGCCCCCCAGCCCCCCTCCCGGCGCCGAACTCTGGCCGTCATGGGCGTCCCCTGCCCCTGCGTCCGACTCCGCGTGGCCGCCAACCCCGCCCACCCCTGGGCCCCAAGCCCTGCCAGGATGCCGGCCGCCCCCCCCCCCTCCCGTGGAACGGGAGCTGGTCACGCGGCCCCGCCCGAGGCGCGCGGCCCCATCCCACAGTCACCCCCGACCAGTCCGGCCCAGCGACACGAGACGGGGCGACAGCGAGGAGGGAACGCCGACAAGCAGGGGGACGGCGCAAGGCGCAACACGCGGGCGGCGGCGGCACGCGGCCGGCGGCAGCGCGGCGGCGGCGGGGCAGCGAGTTGCCACTTGTCTTTTGCCCAGGTCCGATGCGCCACCATCGCGGTCAACCTCGGTGGGGCACTGCGGTCACGAGGTCAACCGCGGTGCATCGCTTGCACTGGGTCAACCGCGGTGGGGCACCGGCTGCGCACGCGCGCACCGCAGTCGCCCCACGCAAGCCTCGTCAGGCACCTGGGCCTCCCACGCCCCACCACGCCCCATCCGCCTGCCACCCTCAGCGCGGGCCCGCCTGCGCCAGCGAGGCGGCGGCATGGGCCTGGCGGAGCCCGGTGCCCCCCCGGCCTTCTCCACGACCGCCTGGACCGGGACGGGGAGCCCAGCTGGTGGAGATTATGCACGCAGGCGCCTACCTGGCCTGGACCAGCGGAGACGCACCTGGGACCAGCGACCTCGCCTTCTCCGCCGCCGCGAGGACCACCCTTGGGAGCGTCTCGGCTAGGGCTCCAGTCGTGGTTTTGCGCGATGCTGCAATTGCTCGCAACTCTCGGTCGTGCTCAATCGGTGTGACATGGTGCTCACGCGAGAGCTCACAACCCAAAGGCAGACATGGTGCTGCCTCGGGCGCCAGGATGGAATCAGGAGGATGGAAGGAGTGAAGGACGAGCAGGGGAAGGGAGGAGGAGGAGGAGGAGGAGGAGGAGCAGGAGCAGGAGGAGGGGAAGGGAGGAGCACGGGAAGGGAGGAGCACGGGAAGGGAGGAGGAGGACGAGGCAAGAGTCCAGAGATGGCCCAGATATTCACACCGACTCCCTCCAAAAGAGGGCGGGGGCCCGACGAGCGAGCGCGCAAGGGCGGCGGCGGCGGCGGCGGGCCCCGCCGGAGCCGGCCGCGCCCCAGGGCGCGAGGCGGCGAGCGAAGCAGAGCGAAGCACAGCGAAGCGGGGGAAGCGAAGCGAAGCGGGGCGAGGCGAGCTGCCAGAGCCCGTGCCCTCTGCAAGGGCGCCCAACTTCGCGCAGCGCGCTGCGCTAGGCGTCAAGCGCTTAGAGCCTCGCGCTCTCTCGCGCCGCCCCCCAGGTCAGGACCTCGCGCTCTCTCGCGCCGCCCCCCAGGGGGAGAAGAGGAGGAGGAGGCGGAGGACGAGGAGGAATCGGAGCCGCAGCGCGAAGCGCGAACAACTCCGCGCCCTCGAGGGCGCCCTGGCCCTAGGGCATGGCACGGGGGCCGTGGCCTCGGAGGCGTGAGACGTGAGCAGACTCACGCGGCAGCCACCAATCTGCGCTCCCAGCGACCGATGACGATCACAGGTCTTTTGCACAGCAGTGTTCCCGGAGGGGCCCCGAGCGAGCGGGCACCAGCGAGCAGAAGTTGGCACGGTGTTGCCCCGAGGCCCGCGTCAGAGCGCCGGCGGCGTCCAGAGGCCACCGTGGACATCGAGAGGCCTCCCAGATGGGGTCCGAGTAGATGCGGTCATAGAATCGCGCCGAATCGCCGAGGCGTCGACAATGCATCGACAACGCGTCGACGATGCATCGGCGACGCCAGCGTGGAGAAAATCGGGATCCACATCGCGCCGCATCGCCGATGCATTGGCGATGCGAGGCGATCCTCCGACCCCCATCTGCTCGGGCCCCGTCCGGGAGCCCGACAACCTCGGGCTCTCGTGTCCAGCGCCGACTCCTCGAAGTGGAGCGGCGCAGTCGGGCGGTGCCTTCCCTTCCCCCCCATTCGCTGCTCCTGCGCGCGCGTGCTGGCAGGAGGGAGGGCCTCGGTGAGGCGAAGCCAGGACAGGGACAACATGAATCTCTGAGATCCGCTGGTTCTGGAGGGCGTATCGGGCGCCATGGTCTTCGCAAAGCGCTCCAGAACGCCGTGAGACCGTTCCCGCACGCGCTGGAACGATTTGATCCCTGTCCTATCCCGATCCGGACCGGACGAACGGGGGGACGCAGTCAGACCGGACCATCACGAGGACGCGCGATGAGGACGCCCAGGCCCAAGCTGAGCGCCCAGGCTGAGCTTCTTGAGCGGCGCGCGCCCAGTTCGGGCGTCGATCTCCTCTGGGCCACTTGGTGCACTTGCGGCCGCTCCGTCCCTGGAGGCGTCCGGGTCGGAGGGAACGGGGGGGGGCGGTTTTTCAGGGCACCTCCTGGCGCCAGAGGCGGCAGCGTGTCCAGGACAGCGCCCGGCGGCGCCGCCGAGACGGGCTGCACGCAGCAGGTGTCGCGCCCCCGGGCAGGAGCGACCTCCAGTGCGCGGCCTTCCGAGGGCCGCGGCGGGGCCAGGTCCGAGGGCGCAGGACGGCGCTGGGGCCACCCTTTGTGGGCCAGCAGCAGGGGTCACTCCGGCCGACCCGAGGATCGCCGCACTCTGGCGGGCGCAGCCTGCCGGAAGCGTTCACGAGCTCGACGTGCAGACGAGCAGGAATCGCGGTCGCGATCGTACCCACGCTGCCCCCCCAGCGCTCGCAGGTGGGGCAACGATACACTGGATGGGACAAAAAGTCGTCCTCCCCCCTGGATCTGCGGTGGGGGTTGGGCACGTGCTGTCGGAAGGAGGAAAAGGAGGAGGAGAAAGGGAGAAAGGAGAATGGGGAGTGGAGTGGGGTGGAGTGGAGTGGGCACCGCTGCGGAGCAGGTTCGATGGTTCAAGGCCCAGGCATTGGATTACTCCAGCGCCGAGAAAATTGCTCTGCTCGGCTCAGGACTTTGGGTGGTAGACCCCGTGCAATCCTGTCAAGATATTGCCGACCTGTCCCGCTCTTCTTACCAGTACAAGGGGCTTTCAAAGACCGCATTACCCTATCAGCGATCACCCCACACTCAGAACAGAACCAGACCTGGAGGGCCGGGTGGACATTCAGCGTGTAAGTAGAATGGGCCCGACCCCCCGCGGTATGGATTCGCGAC